AAAAAAGTGAGCTGCGGCCTCGCAGGATTTTCAAGGCATGTCGAAGGCGTGCGAAGTGTTTGAGGTGATCTCCTGCTTGAACCACTCAGTGTTTTGAACAACTTCTGGACAGTCTGGAAATGGCAGAGTTAGGGCCCAGCGATGTTGTGATTTTTTTTGCGGGGAACATTCGGAATACACGTTTGAAATACATCCGAACCCGAGCTCTGCCAATTCCTTCAATTGGGAACGGTTTCGAGGGAGCCCTACTGCAGCCTTCAAGCCGCACAACGTTGCTCTCTAGCCATCAAGCTGCCTTCACTGGCTCCTCTTGAGAAATAGTGTTTGAGTCATGTTGGGCGCCTGAACCCCCATTTCTTTGGTTCGCATGCCTTCCCCGTTTCTGATTGGCCTCCCTTTGTGAATTAGAATTTGTGGGACCGCAGACTGGGATGTGTCGGCTCTTCAGGTTGGCCATTGAGTTTCGATCGGAGGCGAATCACGGGTGTTGCGTCTCATGGACTCCGGGCAGAAGCTGGGAGCCCTGATGCGACGGGGATTGCTTCACAGCGTAAGACGCCATGAAGTCGACTGGAACAGGGCAAGCAAACACACATACACACACACACACAAACACACAAACACATAAGCACGCAAACTGCTGCACATGCACCTGCACATACACAAATAGAGCCTTAGGATTTTGTTTGCGTCCGCATCCAGATCTTGCATCCCCAAACCGTGCGCCGACTGCCGGCCGACTGCGCCATGTCACGCCGCGCCTCTGTGGCCACCGCCGTGTCTGAGTACTGGGATCCAAGAGAGGCCTCTCGGCGGAGATGGCGGTTTGAAGCGGACAGACTCGAATGGGTGTGGGTCAAAATTAAACAACCAGAGGCCGGGTTTAGTCCTGGGTTCCAAAAAAACAGGGTTCCGTTTTGGGTATCCATTTTTCACCCACAGCCAAATGGTTGTGGGTCAAAACCCTGTACCCCTGGTGAACATCAAAATAGGTGGCAAATGGGTGTCCATCCGCCCCAAAATGGAGCCATAGGTTATGCCACATGGCCAAATTTCTGCAAGATTTCTGTTTGCCATGCTGTTGGGCTGTGCTGGCTATCGTCTGGAGGCAAACCAAATCAGGCCAGAGAAAGAATGAAAGATTGACAATCAGCATTCCTGCATTCCTGTCAAAGGGACATTGGAAGGGATGTGCTTCTGGGCTCGATTCGCGGCATGACAAGCGTGACATGCGCAAGACGCAAGCCCATAAAACAATTACGACAATTTTGAGCCGCAAGCAACATGTCCAGTTCTTGTCTCCATTTTGAGACAGGCCTGAAAGCTTTTTGTTGGTTGGCCTCCGGCTTCTTGGGTAAGACTTGGCTCCCGACAATTGGAGCTTTGAAGATCAACCACCTGAGGATCAAGACTCGGACTCGGATGTGGAACTTGACAATGAGGCGGGTGCTGGCGGAAGAAATCTCCCCCTTGCACCAGAGTCACACTGGAGCACATGCTGTGCGGTGTCTGGAACCACATCTAGGAGAAATCGAGATCCGGAGGTGAGCGGCGAGCGTTGAACGGTGTTTTGCTTGAGGCGATGAAAGGTGCCGAAGACTTGGAGCAGGAAGACGAATTGGAGGAGGAGGAAGAGGATGCATTTATGCAGGCACCCCCTTGCAGCAATTGCTCAATGTGTTGGGGGCAAGTCTGTTGCTTGCTGGGGCAAGTGTGCAAAACTTGAAGTTGCACCTGAGCATTTGGTAGGTATGCAGCGTGAAGAGCAACAAGCAGGTAACCTTCTTGCAGGCCGGGGCTCACCCTGGCTGGTGCCCGGCCGTTGGGGCTGGCTGGGTATTTGGCTGGTTAGCCTGTACTCTTGACTAGCACTGCAACTACTGAACCGCCACAAGTACTCCCAACGACATCGACACCAGCAGGAGATACTGTGGATGGACGAAATCCTGCACCAAGTTGAAGCCACGGGAAACCATTGTTTGTTGGTAAATTTACAGGGAAGCTTACGTGGTGCAGGATTCATCCATCCACAGTAGCAGAATCAACATCACAGCATGGCAGCAACAGCAGCAGCCACAGCGACCACTACGACCACGTGAATGTCAACGTCAGCTTGATTGTCAAATTCTGCGGCAGCAACAGCAACAGGTATCACTGCCGCTCTTGCTTCCACTATCGCCACAACTTCCAGTCCCCTGCACAATGCAAATAGGGGAAAAGGAAAAGCGCTGTAGCTATTCCCGTTTTGTGGTTGGCTTACTCGCACTGATTAGGCAATCAAGTGTACCACAGCACCACCACCACCACCACCACCACCACCACAAGGGCTTCTACAACCACCACCAGAGCTTCTACCGCTACCTCCAATACCACTACTATTTGGACTTTTTGCGTTGCTGCTACCACAACCCCATTTACTGCTAGTAAATTATGTTTGCTTGTTTAACTGATTATAATTCCAAGAGCTTCAACCACCATCATTGATCATATCTGTTTGCTTGGCCAATTGACCGAGTAATGTGCCGAATCCAAGCCGAGTGAAAACCTCCAGCTGTTTGTGAGACCATGAGCCGCACCAACGGGTAGTCAAGAGAAGAAATGGTTGCCGGGTGAGTTCAAAGATTCAGCTGATCGATTTCCAGCTTGTAAACTAATACTGGTCCACTTGTAGCTGACGTGAACACCAAAAGTAGGATCCAGGAGCCTTCCCGGAAGGCCTCGACAGAAGTTTGCAGCGTGTGGGATGCGAGTGCCATGCAGTTGGAAGAGCAGCTCTACGAGTAGAACACACAATTCAACGATCCCATGCAATTGTTTTGGGTCAACGCTTGGCAACAACTTACAGTTTTGCCCCTGACTAGAACTATGAACAGAGAAACGGTTTGAATCCTAGGTTAGGGCTGAATGTTGACCAAGCCCATGTCAGGCGCCGTAGATCCCCCTGCATGTTCCTTGTCCGACTCAATGGGAAGCTCTCCTAGGCGAACGAGCTGGAGGAGAGCCGCAAGGCTGCTGAAAGCGCGAAAAGGGCATTTGTTCTTGGGGTTGGTTTACTATTTATTGGGGGGCCCCCATTTTTGGCACATACCAGCGCCAGATGGTTGGGGCTAGCCAGGCCAGGGCTAGCCAGGCCAGGGCTAGCCAGGCCAAGGCTCTCCCTGCGCTGAAGTGACAAGGCTTTGAGGGCAACACGTGTTGCTGGTCTCCCGATGGCGTAAAAAAAGCCACCTCCACCCTTCCTGAGTCTGCGACAAATGCAGCAGGTCAGCAGTGCGGCTGTTGGCGACCAAAGTCCAAGGCAGGAGAGAATTGTCTCAGAGGACTGAGGTTGCTTGCCTTGAACCTTGAAGCGGGATTGAGTTGGGGAGTAATGATGTGTTTCTTGAAAAATGGAGGACCGGTTGGGTCAAAATTCCATTTGGGAGGGACATTGGATTTTCTAATTTCCCCCATGTCTGGGGAAGCGTAATTTTGACCGTCGCTCATTTGCCCATAAGTGTTTCTGCCGGACAAGTATGCCTGAAATGGTCAAAACACCCTTTTACTCGGGGTTAAGAGGGATGGTCGTTAGACCCCTCGCCTCGGGGACTTAAAAACAAGGCTTCCTAGGGCTTCGTGTCCCGGCAGTTTTGACCAGGGGGCCAGAGAGGCACTCCGTCGCCGAGGCTCGTTCTTTTCAAGTGGGATCCGGAGCCTTCAAAATGTGGGGCTCGTGTTTTGGGGGAGCCCCCAACGACAATTCTAGTGCTACCTTCCCAATCTTGCCAGGGATCCTTCTTTCTAGAAAACCTCCGGAAACCTAGCGAACCGGCCGGTTTTTGAAAAGAACGATGGTTGAAAAGAATGGACAAGGAATCAACCCTTACAATGGAGAATCACCTTGATGAGCTGAGCATGTGACGGACGCCAATTGCCGAGGCCGAGTTGGTGGCCGCTGCCAGGCGCACAGGTCTGGACATGCATAGCAGTTCCAACTTGGATTCTTGGATCCTGCAACTGCATCGAATTCACGGGGGCAAAAGCAAATGAAGGTCCCTGGAGGTTCCTTCTTGCCTTTTGTGATCTACGTATAAGTTGCCCAGATCCATTGAGGATCAGTTTCCCTGTGTCAAGACTAGACACTGCTGGTTGGACAACGCCCACGCATGCGGTCGAGACCATGAGGCTCCGGAATTGGCCGGCAGCGAGCACATGGCGGAGGCTTGGGAGCGGTCCTACTTGCATGATGCTCAGGTCTTTTGAGGATACTGGTCGCCGTGTTTTAAGGTTTGCTTGCAGGGAATTCTACAGGAAAGCCCGGCGTTTTGTGGGGTCCCCCATTTTGAGAGAGGCCCTATGTTTGGCCAGTGGTGCCAGGCTGGAAAGATAAGAGCGTGTCACAACGGGCATCCTTCAATCCTAGCATCACTTCTGCGCACCGAGTCCAATCAGGGTGTTGAAAGGATGTGTCCAACCACCACCTTCTTTCGGAAACTTGGAAAGCAGTTCCTTGTCTCGCCCAAATCCTGCACCGTCCGCTGGACAGGACGCAGACCTCACCAAGAAAGAGTTTATCGAGGCCGCCGGGAGCTCAGCTGACTGAGCTGACTGAGAGGTCGTTTGTGGTTCCACTACAAGAGGTTGCCGCCTTTTGGGCTTTGCCGCAGAACAACAAAAAGGGGAGATGCTCCTTGTTTGTAGTGGGCAATATCAAATCGTTTGAGTGGTTTTCCAACCAGTGGTCATCCCAAGATCATCAGACCTTTTGATCCACCCGCACATGTTCCTTGCTCTGGTAAAGGGGGAAGCTCCCTAGTTGGAGACATATTTGGGCTTGTTCACGTGGCTGTGGGTCAAATGGCACCATTTTGGGGTAGGTGCACCACCCATTTTAGTACCTATTTCAGTGGGATTTTTTGATGTTCACCGGGGGTACGATTTGGATTTTGACCCATGGCCATGTGGCGGTGGCTCAAGATTCAAGAGCTAGAGTTACGCAGGTTTTAGTCCATGTTGCCACT